GGGGGATGAGAAAGAAAAAAAGAAAGAAAGACAGGGAGAGACGTAATATCCCAATCTTATCCCACATGCCTATGGTGGCGGTGGTGGAGGATGGAGGAAGAAGGAGGAAGAATGCCTACGCGCCACCATGAAGCGGCCGATGTGTGCAGCAGGGAGAGAGAAGATCGATAACGCGGCACGCGAGCTACGGAATTTGGAAGTACTCACTCGAAGTGCGCGTGTGATTCCTCGCACCGCGCCTGGCTTCCGATGCTCACTCGGAGCTCCTGCCTAGAAGACTTGTTGGCTCACTCACTCCTCGACTCAAAGCGGTGGTCGGTGACACGATCGTGGGGGGGATGGCTGGATAGCCTGCACGTCACGAGAGAGTGATGATCTTGCTCTTTTTAGTTTTTAGGGCCTATATATATATATATTATATAGTCTTCATCTGCTCAACAACAACAACAACAGCATCAAGAGTTCTGCGTTTAGCGCTGTGTTCTGTTGCGTTTTATCAGTAAATAAATTAAAAATTGGTTCATCTAGTTTTGTTCATTGTGTTTATAGCTGTTCATACACATCGTTTTTTGTTGGGGGTTTTTTTTTGTTGGGTTTTTTTTCGTTCGCGTGTTTTATGTTTATTTTGGCGGTTTTGTTTTCCTTTGTTATTTCCATTTGGCGATTTTTTTATTTTTTTTTAATAGCTGAGTATGGTTTGTTTTGTTTATGCTGTTGATTTGTTGTGCTTCATTTTTTACATTTTAATCTAAAATCAGGAAGGTGAGTTTGTAAATTCCAGTCAAGGGAAGCCATGGTAGATTACAAAATATCTGTTTTTGTTCAAATGAGCGTTTGTTTCGTTTACTGTTTGTTGGTTATTTGGCTTGTTTTGTTTCATCATCATCATCATCTGTGCTGATTTTTCGGAAAAATATTGATCAAAAGCAAGCACAATTTGCAGTTTGCAAGGACTCTTTTTTTTTTTAATACTTTTTTTCCGATTCATTTTTTACGGAGGCGTTTTTACGCCCCATCAACACAATTCTGACCATATAGGAGGCTGGCTACCTCCCCTTCCTATCAGGGCGAACTCGTGCTGAGAGGGATAAATCCCAGCAGAAAGACCGAAATACTTGTACCCCATAAAAAAAAATGTTCTCCCGACTCGGGAATCGAACTCGGGTCTCCCACATGCAACTGCGAGGTGCGTAACAGCTACACCACCGAAGCCGGTTCTGATTTGGCCAGGAAGTCAGTGTTTGTCTCTTGTATTGTTCTTATTCTCTCTGAATCCAGGCCTATGATATTTTTCACTCCAAATAGCAGTATTTCCAGTGACGTATCTTGAATGAGCGTATTCCTTGATTCACACCCGTAAGTGGCTATGGGAAATAGCAGTGATAGTTTAAAAACAAACAAACAAACAAACAAATAAACAAAACAAAAACCTAAGGATATGAATCTTTTTTATGAACCCTGTCAGACTAACGTTAGTTTCCTAACTTATTCAGTT